GACATACACACACACAGACATACACACACACAGACATACACACACACAGACATACACACACACAGACAGGCAGACAGACACACACACACAGACAGACACTACAAATATAGGATTGTGGCTTCTTAAGCCGGTTAAAATTGTGTTATTGATGTGTAATGTTTGTTGCCCACAGAAAAGATAAGATGAAACTCCTGGAGGTTTGTGATGTCGGCAGCACAGCTCCCGATTTCACATTACCATGCTATGTGTCAATATGCGTGGAAAGGAGGGCTCCTAAAGGCGAAGAGGAATGGGTAGTGTTGGTTGGTGTGTCGATGAGTTGTAATGGTTTGAGCCTGAAGTGTTCTTTCCGCAATCTTCCATTAATGAATGCTGCTGCTCAGTTGTGAGGGGGATCCCATTGCCCATCGTGCCATACATCAGCTGATTTTGTTAACTACACTACCAAATCAAAGTCTGAAAAGAGTAGCAGTTGCTCCGTGGGATATGCAGTCTTAAAAGTCCTCGAAGCATACACATGTGCGGATATTATTCATATTTCCTTTTTTAGTGTCAGAGACATAATGTTGATTTTTTTAACCTTTCTTTTTAAAAATGAAATTGGTTTATACATCAGACCTTTTTTGATATTCCAAATAAATTTGAATTAGAGTTTTTAGATTGTTTTTGTTACATATTTGATGACTAATGGGATTGCATATTCCATCATTTGCGTATTTCAGTTTTGTATGAGTGTTTGCTGTTTTACTCATACAAGTAACTTGATCGGGAATTGTTGATCTTTGTGATATTTGTGACTCTAATTACATGCTGGTAGTTAATGTTTGCACATGGTTAGGGTTGCATTGCCTGTAATGTACTGTGTTTTGCTTCAAAGATGTAGTCATTTATTTATATACTTTAGACTGGACTATTTTTTATCTGTTTGATAAAGTGATTTTTATCTTGAGTATTTCTGTTTCACCTCACTGCTTATGAATGTCAATTTTACAAATAGTTATCGTGAATGTTAATAATCTCCAAAAATTTCAAGAGTGATGATGTAGGTATACTTTTATTTGTTATAGTATTTACGTTTGACTGTCAGTTGCAAGGAATGTATATTTTTAGATGTGTGGTAACCCAGTGAATTGTGATCAAGAACAGAAAAAAAAATTTATATTTAATACTCTACATTGCCTGAGCTATTTGAGTGTCTTTCTCCACACCGCTAACTGAAAGTGTGATGCAAAAGTCCAAAAAAATGAGGACAAGTGATATTAGAAATGAGTGCAATGGCTTGCATGTTGGTATGATATATACTATTTTTGTTATTGCATCAGTTAATCTTATTGTTCATATTTGTATTATACATAGGCCATTTTGTGCAGAATGCTGTAGGAAATCCATGTTATATGTATATATGTTCTGGGTAAAAGAGGTGCTGATGATAATGAGATGAATTTTAATGTTATATCATGTAAACAGAAGTGTACAACATGGCTCAATGGTAGAATTAATCTCACAAGTTGTTGAATGCAACTTCTTTTCATTCCATAATCAGTCATTTACTATTCCTTGTACCGTTGAAATTTGGAACCTCCTGGGGATTTTAAAACTGAAATATGCTCATAACTGATCTTTGGTGATAGGTGAAAATAGTTAAATCTTGAGTGTGTTCCTCTATTGAAAAGTCTCTAATGATAATCGACTTCAGTGATTTTCCTTTCCTTTCCTTTCCTTTCCTTTCCTTTCCTTTCCTTTCCTTTCCTTTCCTTTCCTTTCCTTTTCTTTTCTCTTTCCTTTTCTCTTTTCTTTTCTTTTCTCTTTTCTTTTCTTTTCTCTTTTCTTTTCTCTTTTCTTTTCTCTTTTCTTTTCTCTTTTCTTTTCTCTTTTCTTTTCTCTTTCCTTTTCTCTTTCCTTTTCTCTTTCCTTTTCTCTTTCCTTTCCTCTTTTCCTTTCTCTTTTCTTTTCTCTTTTCTCTTTCCTTTCCTTTCCTTTTCTTTCTTTTTCTTTTTTCCCCTTTTCTTCTTTCTTTGCCTCCTCTTTTCTTTCTTTTTCTTTTTCCCCCTTTTTTTCTTCTTTGCCTCGTCTTTTCTTTCTTTGTCTCTTCTTTTCTTTCTTTCCAGTTTCATGGAAAACTAGTGTCGAAGGTCTTGATCCATCAGTTCCATTGTTGAAGACTGTACTTATTATATTTGAAGCAGGAAACACTAGTAAAGGGTGCTTCCTATGACTTCAGAGTAGAGTTGTGAATCCATTTATTCCACCTGAATGCATTCCTCCTCTTGATTGTGCTATTGAATTGTCATGTTGTGCATTTTTTGTTGTACTTTTGTTAATATATATTATATTGCTTTCCTTGCGCCTCATATTTTGCTCTCAATATAATCTCAAAATCGGTTTTTTGTACTTGTTTTATTTGATGGGAATGCCATGTTTGCTGCTTACATATTACATAAATGTGTGATACTTTCGAACATGTCATACTGTGTGTTTTTTGTATATTTTCTTAAGTACTTTTGAAAACATTTTAACTTGTTTTATGCAGCGTATGTAACAGTTTTGTTGCATGTTAATATTTATCAAGATATATTTGAACTACCATTTCATTTTCAATTCCTTTGAGGTATTGACAGTCGGGGGAATATTCTTAAAATAAAAATTCTTTGTTCCAAGGTAGTGACAGATTTTGAAACAGGAAACTTTTTGAAATTGGTTTGATGTTTTTATCTGCGTATGTGCAGTTAGGCATTGGATGCTTTAAAGTTCTTCTTGCTTTACAGAAGGAAGTTTGATGTGGACTTCCTTTGAGATTCTCTATTCTATTAGAAGTATTAAAGAAATCTGGAATAAAAAAGGCTGAAACATAAAAACTAAAACAGAAAATATAATGATTGAATATCCTTCTCATGAGAAAGTATATATGTGAAAATTGGGGTTGTGAACACTTTTTCAATTCAAGGATGATTGCTTAGGTTGTTGGGCAACATTACCGGCAGACAAGTGGGCGAGGACAGGGTTTGTTACAAGAGTTCCAAATCCCACAGCACTCCCATCTTCTTCATCAGCTTTCAAGTATTTTTCAAAAGCTTTGAATTCCATAGGTGTAAATTGGGCTGCAGGAGCAGCTACCATTTCTCTCGTGGCAGTTGATATTCTTCTTTGAAAGTAGCTGGTGACAACAGTACATAGTTGATCATTGAAAGCATCGTTTTGTCCCCGTTGGTAATTAATCATGGAAGACATTTCTGCTTGGGTTACTGCAGTTGCTACTTGGGATGATAATGTGAAGTTTGTTCTTGTCAATACAGCAGTGTCACTTCTTGGATATAGGATTTTCACAAATAACTGGTCTTCCTCTGGTATAGAAGCTAGATAGGTCCATGCTCTTAAATAAGCACCCATTCTATCACTCAATGCTCTGATGCTCAACAATTCAGGATACTTGGAGAAGATATAATAATCTATCAACAATAAGAATGATATCTCTGCCCCACTCATTAACGAAATGGTCTCTAAAGAAGAGGGAATAAAAAGATTGACCTAGGCCAGCCACTCTAACACAAGACACAAATAATATCCTTCTTAAATCTAAGGATGCAGAAAGAAGTCGATTGCACAAGTACATGCAGGTTTGGTCAGGATATTGACATGCTGTCCAAAATGATTCTCCATCCACTGACAATCACCCTGAGAACCCTGAGAACTTTTTTGTCATGGTCAGATAAATTGGCCCCATCATCACCAGTAGAAGCTTTCTATCATTGATGAACCTTTCATGATCTCCAAGTAACTCCATTTCCATAGCTCGGGATTGCTCAATAAAGATACCTAGTTCATCAACATTCCTCAGGATGTATGTTTGCAATGTATATCCAGCTTGACAAAATGCATCAGTAATACTGTTGGAAGTGAAGATTCTTTCATCAGTGATGTTAGACATCATGCTGTACATTCATACAACAAGTTGTCCTGTTACATTTGGGTGGATTTGTGTGTAAAAATGTGCATAACAACCAAGAAGAGCCTCTGTCTTCTGTCTCTCAATGTTGAGTGTAAGAGATAAACATTGGCTGGAGGATAATCTGTATCCATGATATGCACCTGATGATCCCCACCACCATGTGGCAACAGTTTCCTTTCTGCTTCAAATGCAATGTTCCAGCATTTTGGTGAATCACCAATCCATCCATTAGTTGAGCCATATTGGATTAAAGTCTCTGAGACTATACAGATTGGAGTAGCACTATAAAGATAGTGATTTATGATATAAGTGCTGTGTATGACTCAAGAGAAGTAGTATTTGATAAATGACATGTCGAAAGCCGTATTTTCTGCATTTTTTTCTAGATTTGCAAACTTAATTTCAAGTTCAGTTAATATCGAGGAGAAGGTACTTTTTGTAGTACACCTGCCACTTTGTTTTTTATAGAATATTCTTGATATTAGAACCAGAGGCAGGGTGGCCCAAGAAGGTAGTGTCTATCCAGATGAATACATACTGGTTTATTACGTTTCACAAACAATACAACATGATCTGCCTTGTTTCCTTTCCTGCACCGACTCAAGTGTCTGTAGGTAGGCACATTTGGAGGTGCCTTGCTTGTCACTGTATGCTCAGAGAAGGCCCTGCAGTGACCGTGAGTAGTAAAATGTTTTTCTCACTTTTGCCACGTGTTCTGCTTAAGCAGGTGATTTAAGATTCTAACTGACCATATTGAAGACATTGATTTTCAGGCACATTTGCTGTATGTGTGTGGGTTTAATTAACAGGTTAAAAATGACGAAATGGATTAACATTTACTTGATATTTATTATTTCATTTTGATTTTTTAGTTGTTTGCTTTGGATTAATTGTGTGTGTTGCAAATTGTTAATAATTGTCAACCTGCACGTCTGTTGAGTATAGTTGTACATTGTGCTGGCAAGAAAAAATGAAGAAAATAAATTCTGCTACAGGATCAGATCCTAAAAGTATTTCAGAAGGGAACCAATTGTTTTGATCCCCCCCCCCTCCCCCCTTCATAAATTTGCTAAAGAAAGTAGCACATTTTAGAATTTTTTCTTGAAATGACATCTGCTCAAACAATACTTCTTTGGAATGTAATGTGATCAATATGTGGCATTTGTATTTAATAAGTTGTCTAGAATTACACAAATACAGAAAGTTTTGAATGCAGGGGAGGCATGGCTCTTTTTCACTGATTTTGTTTAGCTTGAACATTTGTGTGCCACCGTTGAGTAGAACAGAAATCTTGATTAGTAAACTTCAATTTGTCCATATTGCACCTGCCTCTCTTCTGGGAACTCTTTCAATTGTTTACTATCACTTTGAAATCCTCTGCTTGATATTTCTCCCTCATATTTTAAGTCCCCCAAAACTTTGTTGGTGGTGGTGATTATTTTATTCAGGTCATTAATTTTAGTATTGGGCAAATGTTTAATATATTTTTTAAAATTTTTTACTGACAGATTATTGCTTGTTATTGCCTTCAATATGGAGCTTGATTATACACTGCATTACTTACCTGGACGGAGAGGATTGTGGTTACGATGGAAAATGAAAACAGTTGAGTGATGCCACATATTCTCTTATGGAGGGAGATATGAAAAGACAAACCAAGTTAATTTGACATCTAGTTAATTAATAAATAAGTAAATCTGAATCAATAAAATTGGGTAAATAAAATCATGTATGTATCATGGATGTTAACTGGTTCCAATGATCTTGGGCCAAAGGTCTTTGGGCTTTTTGTTGCTGCCTAATCGTTAGAACCCTTATAACGCCCGCCCGCTATTAACGCCCTAATAACGCATAAATATTTCCTCATCCATTGGTTTTCTGTATCATAGTTACTTTCTTCTTTCCAACTTTTCCAGAATGGCATTTATTGACTTGTTTTGTCCCTGCAATTTTTTTTAACAAGTATTGTCTTTTGTTGACAAATTTAAAGCAAAATATACCAAGATGAGGAAGCTTGCATGAAAGTTTGAAACTTCCATATTCCAATGGTGTTATTTAATTTTTGCAAGAACTTGAATCAATTTTGCAGGATTCTAAAAGTAGACTGTTCTTTCACAGACATTTTTTTGGTCATTAAATTAAATAATTCAATTAAAAATTTAAAAAAATATTAAATTAAGTCACTTCTAAACTTCTTTCAATTTTTAAGAAACAAGCAGGATCAATGAACACTTTATTGCAGAAAACTCATTGTCTACGGTATGTTTAGATCCAGCCGGCTACGATTGCTAAGGCAGACGTGCATTGGCGATCTTGTTTCAAGTCCCACTTCAGCATTGTTATTTACTTGTGTTGTGACATGGCAGGATTTCCCACCCACCATGCGTGTCCATTTGGTTTTCTTTTCTGTCCTTTGCCTGCATGGAGGGCAAGAACATGTTGCACCTAGCAATGCCCATCCCTGAACTGTGTTGTGGCTGGGTGGGACAGACAGAATTACCATGTATCTTAGCGTAACTTACCCACCAGACACATATCCTTGTCCCATAACGGGCTAGCAGAGTTGAGATGACCTTACAGGGGTACCTTGGCTGCTCCCTCCAAACAGAAAAGGAAAACGGCCCTAAGGCTGCCTCCATCCTGAACCAACACAAAGGGGAATGGATAAATGAAGGAATGGAAAGAGACCAGTCCTGAAATGCTGCGTTGTAGGACACCATCAGATTGGGTGACTTGATCAAGACGAGTAGACAACACATTCACTTGCCAATCACAAGCCAATCAATTAATATCAATTCACAAAACACCCGTGAATTATTCTTCACTTGTAGGAGATTAAACCATAGTTGGTGCCAGTCTAATAAAAAACTGTATAGTGAATGTTTCGTTGTATTGAAGAGCATGGTAATCTATTCAGTGTATGATCTTTGGGATCTGGCCATAATTATTAGAACTTATTGTAAGTGGACTCTGTGGAAAGTTTTAAATTTGTTGATTAAAGAAAATAAATATTTTAATCTTTCATAAATGAACAATGAATTAAATTGTTCAGACAGGTTCATTGAAAAATTGTTGATTGTAAATTGAGAAAAGTGTATTGAACAGGTAGTGCACGCCTGTATGTCCTGTTCTGTGTAAAATATCTCATTAAATACTACCAATTTTCATATGCCATTTTTAAAATGATATTTGTCGATGATCCCTCAACTTTGGTTCCCTCTTCACTGTCATTTTCTATGAGCAATATTGAGAAGGATATCATTTGAAAAGCAAGCATCGTTGTTGTAACAAAGCAAGCATTGTTAGGGCATAAAGTTCTTTGGAGAATTTTCTTGTTTCTCCTTGTAATGCATGTAAAAATTCAAATTACTGGAATTCTGAGAAAAAAAATAATAATTTGATAACATTTATACTTAATTCTTATGAAATTTGGAATATGTTTACAAATTAGTTTAGTTGTGGCACACTATATATTTTCAATGCACATCTAATAATTCTTCACAGAATCCATTAACTAATCTAGCCTCCACGTAAATCTTGATTTTTTTTTTTTTTTTTTTTTTAAGCTGGCACCTTATTTTATGTTGCTGAAGTTCAATGAGCAAATAAATTTTATCCAGTGCAGTTAAACAACCACTGCTCATAATTCTCATATTACATATCTGGGTGAAATTAATGAACAACACTTTCTGTTTGGAAACCGTGAACTGAAAGTTGCTAAATTTCTCTATTGAGGTAACCAGAGTTAGAAATAAAAAGCTTATTTGGAAAGTGATCCGATTTCATTTCCATTTGTTTTCTAGTGTTATGTAGCAATATGTTATTTTGATGCTTCTTCATCAAACTGCTGATAATTAGAATTTAAAAAATTGTGTTCCATATAAGTTAAATGGTTTTCAAAACCCATTGAATCCTGTTTTGAACTATTTTGCAGAAAGTGAATATTCCCTTCCTAAATAATTGTTTCTTGAAGATGTGTTGCTTTGGGAATAAGATTTTCAAATGGAAGTGAAAAATGAATCTTTTATATAGAAAATAAGGTATTGAAGTTGAGAAATATATTGTGTGTAATGAAAATACTTTTGCTATTTCTATGGCAAATGTGGCATTTCTTCCTGCAAGTAAGTACAACATTTTGATTGGATGTGTTATTATTCTTGAAAATTGATGTTTCATTTAGAAATTCTTTTAGTAAAAGCCTTATTGAGTTTCTCTACATCAGGATTGCTGCGTATTGCTGTTGATACAGTGAAACTTGTCTAAGGCAGAAACTTACCTTCACCAGTAAACAGTCTTAGAACAGGCTATTTTCCAATGTTATATACATAGGATAAACTGTAAACCTGCCTAATTCAGAAATGGAAAAAATTTTTAGTACAATGGTATTAAAAATTCTGGATAAGATGAAAAACAATCATTGTTTTCTAATTAAACATTGACTTGTAGGTATGGTGACATTGTACTAAGGGACTTGCGCATCCATTCACATCCTCAGCTACCCTCGTTTTTCTCGCATTTCTCATGCGGATAGCATTGTTTATTTGTAATAGTACTGACCTGCACAATCCAGTGTAAAGGGGGAGAGATGCAAAAAGTGGTTCGTCCACAGTTCTTCTAATGTGTGTTTTGGGTTCAGTGGGTCTAAACATTTATTGTTGTTCATTTTGATGAACTGTAGGTATTGTATTAATTGTTTATGTCAGGCTGCAAATTCGAAACATTTACGCTTGGTAATAAAATTAGACTAATTGATGTACATGAACATGGCAATACTTCTGAGAAGGGTTTAATAAAGAAATTTAAAGTTGGAAAACTTGAGTGTTTGACAACTTAAAAATAAAGACAGAATCAAGAAACAGTGGTTAGAAGAAAATTATTATTGGTGGTTATCACAATTTTCACAATGATCTAGGTGAATAAACAAAGCCTATATAATCTGGTGAATTCATCTGTTCGTACACATTGTAGAAAATAATGTTTCTTTTACTTTGTATGGAGTTCTTTACTTCATTAGACTGTGGAGCATTTCTGTATTTCATTTGCTTTGTCTCTCTCAGGATGTCTTCATTTCTTTGAAATGTAGTTGTTAGGTGAGATAAACTATTCATACAACCTATTCCATCTTTGAATGATTGCGTTTCCTGAACTTTTTTTGATAGTCTTTATTGCATACCTGAATAAGCTGGAAACCTGTTCAAGACAGAAAAAAATGTTGGACTCAAATGAATCTGGCTTAGATAGGATTTACTGTATTTGCATAAAAAATAAAGTTTAAAAATACATTTTTATGTAGTGTAAGAATTTTGATTTTAAAGTCATGGGAGTATCGTATGAATTCCTCATGCAACAATTTTTTGTGAATACATTAGCTCTTAAAGTTTATTTTAGTTTGAGGCAAGCTTTTGGTGTCAAGTACATTATTTAAAACTTCATCAGTTTTGTTGAAAATTTGACCAAACTTTCAATGTTATTTCGCTTCCTCCACACTTCAAAGTAAAATTTATGCACATGTTTTATCAAAAGAGAAATCAAAGACATATGGTAAACAACTTACCTGATAAGTAATATTATCTACATCATATGACAATAGATACCCTACAGACTTAATTATCACATGTATACTTGTTGCGGTGTATTGTACATGTGTTTACCATTATGTCTTGGTGGGCCAATTGTTGACTTTGTTACTGTTCCAGTTTGTGCTATTAGACATTCCATTTTTGAAGCAAGAAGTTAGTTAAAACCTCATAAATTCTATTATAACAAATTTAGATTTTCCATGCATAGTGTATTTTTGTCTACAGTGAGAGCGCTTGTATAATATTGTGTAATGAATCTGTTTTTGAAAGGGTATTTAACTGAATTTGTTGCTCTGGATTGTAAATGAAAACTGTGTGCTTACAATTAAAGCAGCAATATCAAATGTAAATAATTGTATATACACACTTTTGAAATGTTAGGAAATCTTAATTTTTACAAGAGTGTATGAAACACTCCGTCTGAATCAAGTCTTGTCTAGTCAAAATGAGAATTTTGTTTTCTCAGAAAACACTAAAATGACATATGATGTAAAAACTAAAGGTGGGGTAAAGTTTCATAAATATTAAACAAAGTTATATGATTCAATGCATGGAATCTTTAGATCCAAATCCCTTTTTATGTTCTGGAATTTTCACAAATTGTTACTCATGGTTTTGATATCTACCAAGGAAATCTCCCTTAAAGTGTTTGCTTTTGTTTCTGTCTGTAGAAATGTGTTGTCAATGCAGAAATATGTATAGTATGTTCTTGAAAGATAGAAAGGAAAATAGAAAAAAGAAAAAAAAAAACGTTTTATATAATGGTCTTTTGGGGCTAGTGAGAGTTTGAAGTAGTTTCTTTCAGTTATCGTTCATTAGTACACTGATGATGTGTCTAATCGCTAATGCTTATGCTCTGTGAATTTATAAGTTGGCAAGTTGTGTGATTTTACATGGTGGTAAATGTTATATGCTGATGTAGGTATAATTTGTCTGCCGTACCATGCCTTCCTCAATTCGTTCTTTTGGAAACAATGTGATACGATAATGGAATGAACTACTGGCTGTGCGCAGCCATAATTTCAGTTGGCAAACAACTGGTGCTGAAAAGCGCTGCAAGTACTTTTGTCTTATGACATTTTTTCCCAAAGAGAGTGCTTTTTATAAGATGTTTAGAAAGCTCTTGAAGTTGAGCATTGGATTTGTTTGAGAAACTGAAGAAATTAGAGGCTGCTATTGTAATTTTTTTATTGAAGACTTGGAACGCTACACTGTAAACAGCAAACCAAGTAGAATTTGTAAGATCTCTTTCCAAATCTCACTATCTCCAAAAACCTGTTTTGAGATGGAACTTAAATTTTTGCTGACATTTCTGCAAGTAAAAATCAAATAGGGATTTATACCTACATATTTTTCTTGGCATATTACTCCACTTCTCTCTGGAATTTCTGTTGCAGTGTTGTATTCTCCCAGAATTATATTAATTAGGTAATGTTAGAGTATTAAACTATATTTTAGTCATGGAAAAATTTGTATTCTTTTCAATGAAAATTACCAGGCATTTAGTTGCATTATTTTACATAAATAATATCACCAGTAGATGCCTAATCTCAAAACAGTATATGAATTGATTCTTAGTTGAAAAATACAAATTTTTGAAATAGCTATGGAAAGAAAGCTTTGAATTGCAAAGTAAATATATTTTGAGTGACTTATGAGTTTAAAATGCTAGTGTACACATGGAGCTTTGTGTGTTGTTGCATGTGAATTGTTATGCTTAACACCATTATTTAGTGACATTAGCAATTTATAATTATTTACTTTAAGTGCTGATGCTCATATGTGTTCATGGCATTGGTTCTATGAGAGGGGTGAGGTGAGAGAGAGAAAGTGTGGGTGAGAGAAAAGGACATCTGGAAATGTCAATCTTGTTCTGTGCAGTTTAAGAGACAGACAGAGGCTGTTCCTTTTAAACTTTGTGTAATTAGGCACAGTTTCAATTTTCAAAATGAATAAAGGAAATTAATTGATTTCAGGCTTTAAGTATTGTGAGAATCTGTGAAAGAGCAGAATTTGTGAACTGAGGTGTCTATATCCTGAGTTGTCAGGTCTCTGTCTGTATCCCGAGCTGTGTGAAGTGATGTGGCGTTGCGTGGCTGTTAGTGGCATTGGCTGTGAAGCATGTCTTGATACTGTGTCAGCTGTCCATTACAATGAACAATAAAAGAAAAAAAAAACTCTGCATATACTATTACAAAATAAGTTGTCTCTACTCATAATATATTATTCTTACACTACAATAGAACTCCAATTATCCAATCCATCCAATTCGCTAAGAGAAGAAAATAAAATGTATGACTAAAATGAGTTAATTCTGTTTGATAGTTATTCAAGTGTGTTTCTTTGTCATTATAAATTCAATGAGCAGCAAATGTGTTAAAAGACAAAATCAATCAGTGAACAATAAATTGACCACATGCATTGTTGTGTTTGTCAGTGCAACCTCCTTCTCTGACACTTCGTGGAAGAACAATGCTGTACAAAATGTCAACACCATTTTGCACTAATTAAATGAATATTACTGTAGGACGTACATACAAATTTATTTTTTTGGAGAATGACCCAGATCAAATCCGGGTCCAATTCCAAATAATCTGGAAAATTAGAGTTCTACTGTGTAATAAATTTATCTTTCTAGTCTCCACTTTTCTCTTCATGTTATTCTTGAAAGTAAATGTGTAGAGAATGAGGAGAAAGACCAATTGGTTCAAGAAATTATTTTTTAATGAGAATAGGAGTGTATATTTGATTAAAAGAGATTTGAAAAGTACGATGTGAGTTAAAATTTTGAAAATGCAGGTGAAAGGAATGCATATATTTCTTATCATCTGTTTTTCCTATGTTTTTAAACTAAGAAACTGATTCCTATTTGTATAAATCCAAGAAATAAAAAGAGAATAGGAAAGAAAGGAAAAACAAAACAAAAATCCACTTGCAATGCACTGATGCTATGAACCTGCTTGTGCAGTGATTGGATCATTAGATTTGCTTTTTGGTGAAATTCTAAGATCTTTTAATAGGGATGTGTGAAATTAGGGCAATCATTATGTTGCACTGACCCTTTTTATTACAAACTGATAGATTAATCAGTTTGTCTCTCAGAAGATAGTTGATTAGTTAATTTTTTGAAATGCGTTGATTAGCTTATTTTTGTTTTGAGTCTGGCCCCATCAACAAAAACAATTGAATGGTTATCAGATAGTGTAATGGAATTATTTCCTCTGAGGTTTTCAATGGATTTAAGATTTATAATATTTTTCCAGTAGGTTTCAATTTATGGAAATTTAGAAAGTACCTAATCACTCAATTTTCAACCACAAAATGGCAAAGGTGAAAAAATCTGGCATTGACCATTAAACGGAATGTACAGTAAAAAGTTATTTTTGTTTGTATTAATGTTCTAGCAGATTAAAACAATGGACTCAAGTTTAGTGCATACTCCTGGTTTAGCGAAAGTACATAGAAGATATGTAGTAACTGACGAAAATGTCAAATATTAATTGTTTTGAGGAAAAGAAGTTGGTCTACAACAGGTTGAAAGTACAAGATACAAAGAAATGCTCTTCTATTTTTTTTCTAATTATATTTCCTTCTACATTAACAGATGATGCAGACACTTTTTAATTATAGCATTATGACGAGTTTATTTTTAATTTTTTCCTTTTTATATTTTAACATTTTATTGTTATTGCTTTGAAAAAATACTTTCTAAGGAAAAATGCATTTCAGAAATGTATTAACCCCATGGAAACTTGTGAATTGCTTATTATTTACAAAAAATGAATATATTTGGTAAGAAAGAAAAATGAACTCAGAAATACAAATTAAATTTTGTGTAAATTGGGTGCTTTTTTCTTTCTAAACAAATATATTTATTGTTTTGTAAATAAACAATTAACTTGTTTCTGGAGTGTTTACATGTTTCTAAAATGCAAATTTTTGCATAGAAACTATTATTTTTGAGAATACAGGTGAAAGGAAAGCATATATTTATCTGTTTTCCTGATGTTTTTAAACCAAGAAAATGATTCCTATTTTTATGAATATAAAAACTAAAAAAACAATGGAAAAAAGGGAAAACAAAACAAACAAAAAACCCACTAGCAATGATGTAATCAAAGGGGGCAGGTCAACAGTGATAACCCTCAATTCTGTCATGATCGTACTCCAGAAGAAAAATGATTATGATAAATCCACTTCAAAATTTTAGTTTTCATATTTCTCTTCATGTAATGCATTTGTGTGAATCTGTTTGTGCAGTAATTGGATCATGTTTGCTTTTTGGTGAAATTCTAAGTATGAAAAATAAAATAATTTAAATTTTTTTAAAAATAAATTAAAATTTAATTTTTCTTTTTTTCGTCTTGCCCCCATCAAAATAATTGAATGGTTATCAGATAGTAATGAAAATATTTCTTCTGAGATTTTCAGTAGATACAGTAGAATATTTTTCCTGTTGGTTTCAATTTATGGAAGTTTAGTAAGTACCTAGTCACTCAATTTTGTAATACAAAATGACAAAGGTGGGAAAAGCTGGAGTTGATTACAGTTGTTTCTGAACTGACAGTACAGTAAATAGTGTGTATGTATTAATGTACCAGCAGATTAAAACAATGGAACTCAGTTTAGTGCATACTCTTGGGTTAGTTGAAAAAACATGTAAAACATGAAGTAGCCATTGAAAATATCAAATATTAATTGTTTTGAGAAAATGAAGTTGGTCTATGACAGGTTGAAAGTGCAATGTGCAAAGAAATGCTCTTCAATATTTTTTGCTAATTTTATTTTCTTCTACATTAACAGATGATGCAAACAATTTTTTAACTATAGCATCATAATTAATTTGTAATTTTCTTCATTAAGTATTTCATTATCATTGCTTTGAAAAAATACTTTCAATGCAAGTATTTGCATTTTAGAAACGTGTGAATTCCTTATTATTTACGAAAAAGTTAATATATTTTTTCAGAAAGAAAAATTAACACAGTAAAAGAAGCACTTAATTTACACAATAAAGTTGCTTTTTTTAAATTTCCGAGTTTTCTTTCTGAAGAAGTGTGTGTGTGTGTTTATATATATATATATATATATATATATAATATATATATAGTAGTATATTATATATATTTATAATATATATATTAATCTAAAATTCAATTTTTTACATCGGGATAGCCATTCGGATTATACAAGGAGTTTAATTAGACAGAATATGCTTGAATTGTTTAAGAGCTTGTTTTTCGACCGATATGTGAGCGGCGTGGGGTTGGCAGCGGCTGCGAGCTGCGCGTGCGCGTAATAACGGGAGCGATGCTCTGAGGCGAGAGGCTGGTCGTCTGGTGGTTGCCTAGGCAGAAGAGCTGAGCTGCAGTGAGGGCAGGGAGCGGATGTGGCGGCGGGGGGCGCGGTGGCGGGGCGGTGGGGGTGGGGTGGGGCTGGCTGGCTTGTGCGGGGAGGCGGCGGCGGCGCCGCCGGCCGCCGTCTGCGAGCCCATTCAAGTAAGCCTTCGGACGGTGCGGATCTTGACGACTGACGAATTTTAAACCTGGAAGGCGTAACCACGCGCGGATCCAGAGGGATGGAAATTTCCCTCCCCTCCCTAGAAGTTTTCAGTAACTATGAAGTTTAACCAATCTTTCAAGCAAAAATAGTTTGGGATAATTATTAAAATGAATAAAATGTGTCGCAGCGAGCTGAGTCCAGCCTGCGACAATTTACTACAAAATATGACACATTCGATCAAAAGGTTTTGAATTCTCGTCCCAAAACTTTCTCTGGCTCCGCCCATGTAAAATAGTTGAAATATAGTCACAACAAGGTGTGTTGAGGCTTGACGGCCAGTTTCCAGGTGGTAATAATTTTGTGTGAAAGAATTTGCGGATGCGGTGCGTAGGTGGAGGCGTGCCGGGGCCTGGGCTACAACGAGACGTCGCTGCCCAACCTGGTGGGGCAGGAGCGGCAGCGCGACGCGGAGCTGACGCTGGCCACGTTCCGGCCGCTCGTGCAGTACGGCTGTTCGGCGCAGCTGCGAGTGTTCCTGTGCGCCGTGTTCGTGCCGCTGTGCACGCACAAGGTGCCGGCGCCCATCGGGCCGTGCCGTGCGCTGTGCCTGGCCGTGCGCTCGCGCTGCCTGCCCGTGCTGCGCGGCTTCGGCTTCCAGGTGCGCCGTCCGTTTCCCCAAGCTCTGATGTCCGCACAGGTGTGGTAGTGGAGTGCATGTAAAGTATAAATGATAGGGAGTAAGGAGTGAGTGCACGACAAGGAAGAGCAATTCAACAGCCAGAGTTTCCTCTTTTTCTCGGCAGCAGTTGTTGCGACAAGGAAGAGGAGGAAAATATCGCAGGCGTCTGTGGCCGTAGAATTTCCCCCCTACAGCGGCTGAATTCGACCTTGCTATGTATATAGATAGTTTCCGGCCGGACTGGAACTCTACGATGTCCCGGTCAGAGGGTCTGCTCTCGTGACTTTATATCAAGCACATTTACAGAAAAGAAAAGCACAACGATTGAATTCTTTGGTCCGAAATGATTGAAAGAAATATATCATTGTACGTGAAATCGAATTATTAAATTGGACATCTTCAAGAAATAGTAATAATAATCACAATCGTAATGACGTTAAGACCGCGAGAAAGCCTGGCAAAGAAGAAAACTGCATGGTAGGTGTTTTGCAACATTAGTTTTGGATAACATTACCTTTGTTGGAATTACTTCGAACCGGGGGCCGTTTGGGCGAGACTAAAGGACTCCTTTTTTCCGTTCAAGAGCGCCGGTTTTGCTGTAGATGCCTCTCGTTGACTCAAACGGAATAGGTACCTTACCGAGACACAACTGCGGCACCAAAGTAATTCAACCGGCCCTTGCCAAGAGATACGATCTCGCAGAGTGCAAACCAGAGCAAGTAATGATTACTACAGATGGCAGACCTGTACCAACTTTTGCGGAGAAGAAGAGGAAGCGCCACCTGCTGGCTGGAAACGGAGGACATGCTTTGGCTTGCGCGTAGTGAATGCGCTTCAGTCAGCGAGTGGGGGAGCCCCAAGGAAAGGCAAGACGCCGCCATGAAATGAAAAGCAACTCAGAAATATTTGCCGACATTCAGAGAGGTCTTATTGGGAACAGCAAATATAGTCCGTAAATTCCTAAACCTGAATTGACGGACAGAAAAAAACAACCATGTTCCTATTCCTCTCTACGTGCCTTAGGTGATTTTGAGAATCCGGCATCAGGAAATGTCCAGATAAAATGGAAAATAATAATAATAATAATAACAACAACAACAACAACAATAACACACAGCGTCCATCGTTTTGAATAGTTTGAAGGAACAATCTTGGAAGTGCGTTTCTAGTTTTCCAAGTGACGAATGCAGTGGCATATGAAATGCAGTTGTAAATTGCCCCGTTGTGTTGATCCGATGTAGTTTTCAGTGAGTGAGATGAGTGGTGTGTGCGTGTTGCAGTGGCCGGCGCTGCTCAACTGCAGCAAGTTCCCGGCGGCCAACAACCACGAGGCGATGTGCATGGAGGGCCCGGCGGAGGCGGAGGCGGGGNNCCCCGCCTCCCCGCCCCTGGTGCTCGCTGGCGACGGCGCCGCCTCCGCCGCCTGCGCCGTCGTCTTCCTGCTGCTCTACTACTTCGGCACCGCCGCCGCCCTCTGGTGAGTGCCCCATGAGCCAGCTCCATGCAGCCCCTGGGAGCTAGAACACAAGTGTTTCGAAACATGCCAATCGGTGATATGAATAGAAATGAGCTTTTACGTCTTTCTCGGTTGATTGTTAGTGATTTCGGGAGCGTCAACCAGCAAGGTTATTAGTCCTGGAAGCATTTTTTTACTCGGGTGGTGGTGTTCCCCCTCCGGATGACGAGATCCGCCGCCAACCTACCGTCGAGCTTGTGGAGGGCCTGCTAGTGTATATGTAAGGTGATAGGATACAAGGAAGAAGTAGGAAAGATCGCGCGCGGTTCGTGGACCTTATGTTAGGGTTCTGCTCCGGCACTCGCCTGGTGTTGATCGAAGAAAACAAGGAAAACTACCGATCTCAGCAGCCGGCCGCTCGAATCCTTCTCCATACAGCGACTGAATTCGACAAGATAGTGTCGGAAATCTTGCCATCATCGGGACTGGAACCTAGGACGTCCCCGCCAGTGGATGCTCTGAGCCACCTCTCCGATGAGTGCATTACAAATCTTTCATCAGCCATATCTCTTTAGAGTGCATGTAGCTCCCAGCAATGGCTTCCAATCTGTAACAAGTGTGTCCCGTGGGGACTACAGTACCGGCAAGTGCCGTATAAACGACTGACAGTTCAATGCACTGATGCCACACATTACTACACACATGGCACCACATTCATGACAGATAAAAGGAATCTCAAATCATTAACACACACTGACAGACTCACACGTCTTGATATCATGTTCATAATCAGGGATAGGACTGTGATGTCATGTCATCTTTTCGTTGGTGCATTGTGGAAGTAGCCAAGTTATAAATCAATGTTTATCACGACGTATAGGTAATAGAAATGTATAGTTTACTGCGTCATTTTTTGCCATTTTTGAATTATTCGGCCATTTTCTGAACTTCTTCCGTCATCTTTGTCATTTTTACGCATTTTGTTTCCTTTTCGTGGTGTTTTTTCTTAGTGAATGCTTCATGAATTTACAATGATTCACTAAAACAAAGTTTTTATTGTATCATTAGTTCATGACGAAATTCACTATTGCAATGGACTCTGATTTTCGAACTTTGAAAATTACACGGATTTTCGGTAGTGTCCTCGACCTTTCAAAATCGACGATTGTAAGATCGGAGCTTAAATTACATTTCCTCCTAAAATGAAGACTTTATGTTAAACATAATTTTATGCAAATACAGTTTATTTAAAAGTATAAGATTCATTGAATAAACAAACATTTTTTACAAAATTTTGAATATTTAAAAAATGAGGTCATTTACCCTTTATAAAGAAGTTTTTGGTTCATTTTCCTCTTACTTTTAATTCATTTTATAGGTCATTTTCAAAGAATTGTTAGGTCAGCGGAAATCGAACCCTGTTCATAACTTTGGCCAAAGCCGAACCTTATTGCCCCCGCGACTTCGTGTGAATTGGATGAGCTGAACGCTGACTGAACGCTGGCTGTGAGAAAGTAAACAAATCCTCGCAAGCTGATTGCTTCAGAGCAGGTCACATGACGTCCCACAGCCATACGCTGCCGGTACTGCATGTCGGCTTCACTTTTCTCCTCAGCTGGCGAATGCATGTCATTCCACCTGCGATTTGACACCTCCGCGAGAAGTTACTCGATAGACATAAACATTTTAATCCAATTTTTAAAAAAAATATCGCATTGCTGTTCCTTAAAACACCACTAATTCGTCAAAAAATCCTGTATTTGCATTTACTTCCTTAGCTGTAAAGCATTAACAGCTCAGTCGCATTCGATTTGAACACTCCGTCGGCCAATTGAACTGCTAGACTTATCCTGGCGACACGACACAATTGTCATTTCTGATGATATGACCGATATAATTTGACAGTGACTGAATTGAAGCCTGGACTCGAATATTTTATTTGCTGTCCTAGAACACGTTTCAAACGTAAGAAGACGTTTCTAAGAAATAAAAACCTAAATGCGTCGACATAATTTTTTAACTTTAGAGTCACTCGGGAATTCTCTTGTTGAATCGAAGACACACTGCGTTCTAATAGCATTCGTTGTGAAAAAAAAACGGCGTCAGCAGCGCATTATAAACAACGCAAATAACTAGACGATAAAGTTCTCGAAATACTCTGTACAAGCAATTTCAATTGGTAGCAAAGTGTGACCCGAAGACACACGTCTTCCAAGACAATGACTAAGAATGAAAATATTGAATATCTGCTATATTTACGTCGTAACACACACAAATGGGTGACGGCATCGATGTCGCCCAAGAAAAGGTTATATATTTGTTAACTTCCACCAAATATGTTTACTTCCAAACACTAGGCTTGTATCGCGTTTCTACAAATCTTGTAGCAAACTAGCGTCATGGCGGAATTTAAGTTCCTTGAAATCATATCGTCTTGTCTGCCCAGTTCTCTGGCTGGCTTGGTTAGTGCTGTGCTTACTCTAGTTGAAATGTAGAATATGGTTTCGCACGTCACCTGCTATATTTCAAAGCAATGTGTCAAGCGCAAACCCGACTAGCGCCTTGCTCTGCTTTGCAGAAATAAACAAACGGGGGCACAGCTGTCGACTGCCAAACGCGCCCCCTTGTTGCGACCACGTCGTGGTGAGGAGCCGGGAGACGCAGGGCTGTGCATCTCAGGCCGCGCCGTCCGTAACGCAGAGAAACATCGGAGTGATTTTCAATTCCTGAATTGGGGGCTTGAACGTAAAATTAACCTATTTTTGCATTAAGGTTTTGACCCGACAGGTCGCGTGCGCTAGGCGCTCAGTTTTCTCGCCCGCTGTGGAGGCAAGGGACTTTCGTCTTGCGCTTTTGACTAATAACCTTTCGCGGGCCATTCTGCATTTGCATCCTCTGATGTTGGTGTCCAACCTTTTACTTTCTCGTTTCCGCGTACACAGTTGAGAGATGTAATGTTGCGCGAAAAAACGGCGAATTCTCGGCAGAAAAACTGTTATTCCAGGGCCCTGGTAACGAAAAGGTTGCTAATTTTTTTTGGGCGGGGGGGGGGGTTCCTCTTACTCATGATGTAGCCAGAATCCATGTGTTGAGGGTCTTTGAAACCGAAAAATTGAATGGCGGCAAAACGTCCGTCCGGCGGTCCATGAAAAACGCCAGGGCTAAACCGTTCAGCTGATTTTCTCCAAAATTGATATTCCGTAATCGATATGGCTGATGTCGGGCCCCCTTCAATTTGAAACCGACATTTTAATTTTGGGGTACCATGAAGTCCCTGGGACATTTTCCAATTTTTCAAAAAAATTGCTCCATACTTTTTGATTAAATTTTGTTGTTGAAAAACGTGAAGGGCGTTAAAGGAATGGCGCAGGTCTCACGTTCGTTGAAAACCCTGTTTTTTCGAATAGTGCAAAAGTTCAAAACTTTTTTCTTTTAATATTTTGATGAAAGATGGAGATTTTCCCCTTAATTAAAGCTGTTCCTTAAAGATATATTTTGAAAAGAGGTAATGTACAAGTTTTTGAAAACTTTAGTATTTTTCGCGTAATTTTGCGAGAAAATAGGTCGAGAGAGTACGTGGACTCCGCACCACCAGTTTGGCTTGAAGTGCTTCCGTAATTGAAGTGTCTGTTGAATGAAGGTGGAAGGGAGCGGGGCGGGTGCGGCGGGCGACCGCTGCTGCATTTTCATGTAAATGGACGGCGCGACGGGCGCTTATTTATTTTAGAAGCGCCCTCCCTCGCCCCGGCGGCGTTGCCACGTCACCCGCAGGAGCCCGCCGGCGGCGGGAGGGGGCGCGGCTGCCGAAACTTTGAACTGCGGCCACTTACTTCATACATGTCCAATTTCAAAATAAAAAAATAAACATACATTTACTATAATAATAGTAGTAAAAACGATAATAGAAACGTAACACTATTCGTAATTAAAAGAAGAAGAAGAAAAAAGCCAATGCTAAAAGTCCTTTCAACATGTCCACATTCCGATTATACTAGACGCAGACCTTATCGCATTTATTCCAAGACTCCTAACATTCGTCTGCACTCATGTTCGTATGTTCAAAAACGTATTCTTTCTTTCGAAACTATATAGAATAGAAGAAGAGTCTCGCTAAACTTTCGTCCGTTTAGCGAGACTCTTCTTCTATTCTGGTTTCTGATTTCGTTCTTTAGTTTATCTCGTCCGTCTCCATAGTATCCAACCTACGTTTTCTTCCCAAGTAGGCCGTGTATGTAAATGCCTCCTCGATGTTAGTTACCTTGAATATTGATTCGTTACAATATGCAGTAAATTACTTCCTCTAACACGTTGTGTAGTCAGAATCCTTGTTTTGTGGATCCTTATTCCGGCATTGATTGATGTTCTGTCTGTCAGTCTCTCCGTCCATCTGTCTGTCCATCAGTGCGTCCGTCTGTGAGCAATGCTAGCGGCTAAAACATAAGCATAATTTTCATAAATTTTGATATTCCTAGTCGATCTGGCTGATGTCGTGGCCCCCTTGTATTTGAAACCGATATTTTAATTTTGGCGAGTACTTTACATGAAGTCCCAGGACATTTTCAAAAAACTGGCACCATAATTTTAGTACCTTCTCACCTCAGATAGCGAATTGGACGCTGAAGAGAATGGTGCAGGTCTAATTTTCGTTGAAAGCCCTATTTTTTCGAAAATTGCAACAATTTGATTTTTTGGCGACTTCAACTACAATTTTGAAGAAAAACAAATTGTTTTTCGTAATGAAAAGTGTTCATGAGAAATATCTGTAAAAAAGTTCAATTTTGAGCATTTTTTCCTAATTTTGTCAATCAATTTTAAAATTTTAAACAATTATTTTCTCAGAAACGGTTCCAAAGTCTTTCTTTAAATTTTTTTCTTCGTATGTAGCAAAGAACTGTATAGATGTTGGTGATGGTCTCATTTACGGCGCTCTCTATATTTTTGAAAATTGCAAAAAAGCACAAATTCTTCGAATTCTTCCCTTTTATTGTCGGTGATGATTGTACGAGGGTTGCATTTTAT